AAGAAAACAAATTTACCAGCTCTGGGCCAGGATAGAAGGAAACCAGTGATACCAAGAGGCACGGTTCTAAGAAAGTAGGAAGTGAAAGTGGGACAGGGGTGACAGGGAGGGAGTGGGGAAAAGAATGTTCAGATGAGGCACAATTTCTGCTCTTCTCCACTTTAGGAAAGTAGGATCGGGCTTGCTCGGTGAGACACTGGTTTTTAGAGAGAAAAAAACAGCACAGAGATTGACACGCAGAGAAGGGAAGGCACTACATGTGAATTCTTGCTCTGCCTTAGCTTCATGGCTGATGTGGGCTACAGCACTGGAGAAGAACCCAAAAAGGGCACGGAAATCTCTGAGGGAAGAGGCAACAGAGCTCAGAGTGGGGAGCTGAGGAACTGGAGTTTATGGCACAGACAGCAGTAGACGCTGCCCAAAGAGATGCAGGGAGAGGTCCTCCCTGTGGGACCCTTAACCTGTGTATGCATAAAGTACGACTCCACAGTCTGCGGGAAGAATGTCCAGGGAGGGGCAAGTGGCACGATCCCCAGAGCTCATGGTGGCATGGGGTGGAGGGTGCATTTCAGTTTCAGCCAACAGAAGGAGGAAAGTCCACAGGACACAGGTGCTCAGTGGAGACCCCAGGAGAGCCAGAGCTTAGCAGAAGTCAAACCTGGGCTGACAGCAAGGCCTTCAAACTGTTAAGACGGCCATCAAAGGACCCAGCTGATCCACAGGTAACTTTTCTGCTGCCAAAACAGTCCCTACTCTTTAAAATCCAGCCCACACTGTTGGGGACCACAAATTCACAATGGCTAATTTTGTATACTTCCCTAAGGGATAAATGGAGGCTTGGGATTATCGGTATCATCCATTTGAGATTTCCCATTAACTCTTTAGGACTGGGCCATCCTCTCTCATCAAGACTAAAACTAACACCACTAAAGTTTAAAGAACATTCCAGAACAAGATCCTTCTTAGCTAAGATCATCTCTGCCCTCTTGAGTCATCCCAAGATTATATTTACCCGCTGAGTCATAGACCCCTGAGTCTTCTGCCAACTTTGAATCTTTCTCTAGCTCCACCTTTCACTGTATACACCCAATAAATAGTGGCTGTCTTAGAGTGTCACTCCATCTGGAGTGGCCCATCTGGAGACATCAGCTTCCCAGTCACTCATCATGCATCACTAAATTGTCTGTGTTTCTTATTTTATCCTCTCACCATAGCCTACCACAGGCAATCAGGGCAGTTGGCCAGGTCTCTGATACACACGACACATGTTTTCAATGTGTAGCACTCAGTCAGAAATCACTATGTAAGCCAGGAAATAGGTCCCAAGACAGAAAAAAAAAATCAGTTGACGGAAACAAGAAAGAAAGAAAGAAAGAAAACGATGGAGTTCACACACCAGCATGTTAAAATAGCACTCAATGTACTAAATGAAACTTCTTAGGGATAAACATACAATCTCCAAAATGAAAATTTTACTGCATAAGTTTAGCAAATGAGAAAACTCTGAAGAAACCATCAATGAACTTGACAGAGTAGCAGAAACTGTCCAAACTAAAATACAGAAGAAAGAATTTTTTACAGTGGACAGATGCCTATAATCCCAGCACTAGGAAAACTGAGGCAAACGGCTGGGACTACACAGTGAGACCTTGTCTTAAAAAAAAAAAAGAACACAACTCCAGTGACTTGTGACAGTAGTTAATGATCCTCTCTGCTATGACAATTCTAAAAGGAGAACAGCTAAAAAGGGTCTACAAACTATTCAAATACATACTAGGTAAAAATTCTTCAACTTGATAAATGTTGATAAAAGCATAAATCTATAGATCCAAGAAGCCAAATAAACACCAAGCAGCAAACCAGCAAATGAGAATAAGCCAGTTCTTGAGATAAAACAGAAAAGTCAAGTCTAAGTTATCCCAGAAGGGGGTGGGGGGATAAAGAATAATAGGACAAATAGAAACAGATACCAAGATGTTAGATTAAAACTCATGTGGCAATTATGTTAGAAATAAGTTGCCTAAACACCCCAATTATAAGGCACAAATGCCAGGCTGATTTTAAAAAGGAAACTCCAAGTCAATGTTCTCTACAAGAATAGAGAGTCCCCACGTAAGACATGGACAGATACAAAAAGTCAAAGGCTAAGGGCTAAACCTTATCTTTGACAAAGGGGCCAAACTTGTTCACTGAATAAAGGGTGCTAGAAAAATTAGCTTTTCCGCATGTAGAAGACTAAAACTAGACACGTCTATCACTATGCACTAAAATAAAGTGAAAATAGATCAAAGATCTAAATATTAAGACACACACAATCTAATAGAAGAAAAGGTAGGTAGAAATCTTGAAGACATAGGGGTAGGCAAAGAGTTGAACAAAACCCAAACAGCACAGGAAATACTTCAAAGAGTCAACAACTGGGATCTCACCTTATTAAAAAATTTTTGCACATCAAAACAAATTACCAACAAACTGAAAAGACAACCCACAGAATGGGAACGAATTTCATCCAACTGTCCCACAGGCAAGGACTTATATCTAGAACATAAAGAACTGAAAAACATCAGGCTCACCCATATTCAAAGACCCAATACAAAAATGGGCATCTGAGATGAACACACACTTCTCAGATGAAGAAATACAAATGTCAAATAAATATATGAAAACATGTTCAACATCACTGGTTATTCAAAAAATGCAAATTAAAACAACACTGAGATCCCATCTTACCCCAGAGAAAGTGGCTGTCATCAAGAAATCAACCAATAACAAATGCTGGAAATCCCATCTTACCCCAGAAAAAGTAGCTGTCATCAAGAAATCAACCAATAACAAATGCTGGAAATCCCATCTTACCCCAGAAAAAGTAGCTGTCATCAAGAAATCAACCAATAACAAATGCTGGAAATCCCATCTTACCCCAGAAAAAGTAGCTGTCATCAAGAAATCAACCAATAACAAATGCTGGCAGGGCTATGGGGAAAAAGGAACCCTTCTCCACTGTTGATGGGAATGTAGACTGGTGCAACCGCTATGGAAATCAGTGTGGAGATTCCTCAAAAAACTAGGTTTGGAGGTCTCATTTGATTCAGCTGTTCTCCTCTGGGTATTTTCCCAGAAGAATTAAAAACATCATACCATAGTGATATATATGCACTGTTGTTTACAGCAGCATAATTTGTAATAGCCAGATCTTGGAGACAACTTAAATGCCTATCAAACAAGGAATGGATAAAAAAAAAAAAGATGTATTTTATACAATGGAGTACTACTCAGCTATAAAGGACAAACTTGAGGCTTTTATAAGTAAATGAATGCAACTTGAGACCATACTCATAAGCGAAATAAATCACTCCCATGTGTAAACATCGCATTGTCTCCCAAATGTATAAAACTGAAAGAGTAATAAGATCCAAAATGTATATTAGATATATAAAAGTGAGAGGGGAACAAACTACTCAAAAGGAAAAAACAACTGGGATGGAGGAAAGGAGAAAAGAAAGAAGGAAAAAGACTATATATACAACATAAATAATTATACTGCTAATCTCTTCATGGAAAAGAACAGTTTGTGTCTTCATTGTTTGATCATTTTTTAAGCCTATATCTTGTAATCTGAGCAACTGCTTTGAAGATAACAATATGCATTATGGGCCTGGGGGTTTAGCTCAGTAGTATAAGTGCCTGGCTGGCAAGCAAGAGATTGTGAGTTCGATCTCCGGTACAAAAAAAAAAACCAATAAACAAACAAAACAATACACACTATGTTGCTAATGAGCTGCTAATGAGCTGGGGCGGAAGCATCTTGAGATCCACTGTGGAAATTCTGGCTTAGCCTGACAGCTTAACGTCTTTCTCTTCAGGAGGCTCAGAATCCCATCTTGAAAGGATAGCGCAATAGAAAGATAAAAGGAGGAAGGGAGGTTCCTGGAAGCATAGATGTTGATCTCCCTGACCACTAATTGGAATCAACAGTGGGATCTGGGGCCAATGGAAACCCAGGATTCTGCTTTATACAACCAGTGTGAGAAAAGGTGTGGCACAGACAAAGGCTTGCCAGCGACATATTTTGGGAGTTTTGGATTTGTGACATTTTCAATGCAGCACCTATGGGGATGGGGTGCTGTGCAGGGGACATTTACCAATCAATTTATGGACTCGGGAACTACGAAAAAATTTGATGTGAGATACGTGCTGGCCCCACGTGGCCTTTGCTGGCCTCTGCATTTGCGTGGCACCTGACACTTGGGCTCCGTGAAGGTGCACGTCTGTCTGCGATCCCCGTGCCATTTACAGCAAGGCGCAGCTGCTGAGGGTGGGTGGAGAGGAAGGGCGCACGGTTACTCATGGCTGTCTGTGGTTGCCTGTCTAGTGGGAATTAATATTGGCCTCCATTAATATCGGCCTCCCTGTTTACGAGTTAGACTGCCTGAAAGGTTCCGGTTGCTTCCCCATTCCGAAGGGTTTGTGTTATTTTACCAAGAGTTGAAAAATGGACGGCGCCCGAAGCCGTTTTTCCCGCAAGGGAAGCGGAGTGCGGTCACTACGCGATTTTAATGTGCTCATCACAAAACACTTACAGCTCCGAAGGCGCGAGACTCGGCGCGCTGTGGCCCGCTGCGCAGGGGGTGGCGAGGGCAACCCCCTCTGCGCCCACCTGGGCCCGCTCCGGCCCGGGCAGCACAGGTGGCCCAGAGCTACGGTCCCCTCCAGGTTCCCCAGCGACGTCGGTGCGCGCCCCGCACAGCTGCCAGCATCTGGGCGCGCACAGCCCGTGAACCCAGGGAAGGCGGAGGCCGCCGCGCCCCGCGCTCCCCTTCGCCCCATCCCGGGACCAAGCCTGGCCGTGCGCGGACCCGGCTGCGCGCTCCAGGCGGGCGGCACCCGGGGCGCGCGGAGCCCGGTGCGGGAGCCCCGATGACGCACCAGTGACGTCGACGGCGGCGGGCGGGATTTCCCGGCCCCTCCCGGGCGCTGGGCGAGACCCTGCGCGCAGTGGGCGCGGCCAGGAGGGGCGCAGGAGAAGAGCGTCCGGGGTCGCTCACCCGCACCCCACGGGTTGGTGTGGACGTGGAGCCTTGCGCCTGACGACTTCGCTCCTGCGCGGGGCCGGCGAGCGCAGCGGGCGGGTTCCCACCGCGCCCCCTCCCCGGCTGCGCGCCGTGCTCCCCGAGGGCCGGGGTCGCCGCCAGGACCCGCGCTTGCCGGGGCGCGCTCCCTCGGCCCACCGTGTCCCCGGCCGGCGGTGCTGCTCGGCCCTGCAGCCCCCTGAGAGCGCCGCGCCGCGCCGGGGACCCCGCCTGCGCCTGAGCCGCGGTAAGTGGCGCCGCGGCCGCCGAGCCCCGGGGTCCCCGGGGAGGAAGCCTCGGCCTCTCGTCGCGAGCTCAGGGCGAGTCGGGAGCCGCAGGGAAACTCGGGCGGAAAAGTGTGCGAACTGGAGAAGCCGCTCCGGCGCCCCGTGTCCCCCGAAGCTGCCCGCCACACAAAGACCCCAGGTTCCCGGCGGGGCCCCTGGGCGCGCTCCCCGATCCCGACGCTCCCGCCGCGCCCATGGGTGGGTTGTGGGGCGTCTGCGGTCTCCCCCGTTGGAGGGTGTGGGGGGAGGAGGTAGAGTGGCCTTGGGCCATTTTGCCTGGAATCTTGTGTTTGGACACCTGCCGGGGGAGCGGACCCAGCTGGAACTTGGGTCTTCCTCCTCTGTGGCGTCTGTGCCCGCGTCCGGTGCTGAAATGCTCTGCGCTCCTCGCGCGCGCGCCTGGCCGCGCAGGGGGACCTTGGGTTTAATTTTTTAATCGCCTCTGAAATAATAAACGGCAGGAGAGGGGACAGGCATGGCTGGAAAATGTTCTTTAAACGGATCTCCTTCTTATCCTGTGTTATCAGCTGAAGCGTTAGGAAGCCCCGAAATGTTGAAGTTTGATCAAGTGATAAAGTGGGTCCAGGACACCGGGTCTCCTGCCCTCTCCCCAGCTCCCATGGCTGCCCGTTCCCTTCTTTCTGCATCGCCTCCCGGATCTGTAAAGGGGTGGCAGGGGGCGGGCAGGTTCAGCCAGAGCAAGAAGCGTCGCCTCTGTTCCCTTTAAAACCTGTCAGCCTGCCCTCTGCTGTGAGCGAGGTGTGAAGGTTCCCACTGTGGGCCCCAAAAATTCAGCGTCAGTGCCTCACCGCTGCAGCAAGGCCACCGGACCTTGCGTGGCTCCTTGGTTCCTGGGGCAACTCCTGTGCCTGATGGCCTGCAGCGGGGGAAGGGAGGCAGCCGCCATCTGATCTGGCCCTGTTCCCTACGGAGCCTACTGTGCTAACAGCTGGGTGGTGAGCGAAAGCCTTGTTCCGCTCCGGGAGACAAGATTGCGCACCTGCAAGCTGTGGGCTCTGTGTCCGTGTGCGTGGCCGCGGCACGGGAGAAAAAGCAGGTGTGTGTTGATGGGGCGGTCCGTTGTGCTTTGTGAGGCAGAACAGACTCATCTGAGAGTCGTTAGACTGAAATAACGAGGGACAAGGGGCTTACTGTCAGCCCCTCCACAACCCTCTGCTCCAGTCCTTGTCCCCTTAGATAAAATCACTCAGAGAGACCGGTGGGAGGTGTCTGGCCCCTGTGAAAGAGCACAGCAAAAGGCTGTTCCCAGCAGTCCTCGCCTGGCCGGGCAGCAGCCTTTTCCATTTCTCAAGCAAAACTCTAATACAGGAACCAAAAAAGAGCTTTCTCCTGTTCATTTCAGTTTTTTGAGTAAGAGTGACAGACCCCAAAGCCTCCAAATCTCAGTGCATCCTTGGAAATGGTGGAACATCAGGTGGGAACATGGAGCCTGGTCCCTGGGAAGCAAGTACCCACAGCTGTCCCCGAGGACAAGACACCTGGCGAGACAAGTGGTCCAGTGTGCTGCCGCCTGCGACACGCTCACACCACAGCTAACGACTCCAGGGCAGGCGGCCAAATGGTAGAGAGAATTCTCAAGTGTGTGCCAACAATCATTCTCATTTATTGATTACCACATTTTGCTACCACTTTTTTTTTTTTAGTTTGCCTCATTTTTGTTCTGCTTAAAGAGCAAAGGATGCCTGATAATATATATCTGAAGACTGCTCTTTTGTTCACGGAATTTTGAGGCATGGATTTTTAAAGCTATTTCCTGGGTTCTGTTCCCAGAACACCTTCATGAGCACGGACTGCTATCTAATCTTGCTGACTTTCCTTGGCCTTTTTATTCACTGTAGACATACTGAGACTTTTATTATTCAGGTACTCAGATAAGAAACCAAAACTTAACTTTGTAAACACTGACCTATCCCATCACCAGGGGCTGGCATGGTATCTTAACTGAAAGTCAAAGAAACCAAATTAGGAAAGAAAAGCACAGCAACCACACATAGAATACAGCTGCTAAGGGCTTAGAGTACCTGATTAAAAACAGATGAAGAATAAGCCAGAGAATCACGTGATCAGATGGGAGCGCACAAATGAAACCTCCATTTAGAGAAGGAAATAGAGGAAAGGAAGCCTGCTGAGAGGAGACATTAGCGCAGAGTGCCCTAGCCAGCTGGAGCATTCCGGGTCTCTCTCATCATAGATTCGGTGAGGTCAGGTGGCAGCTGCTGTGCCAGTTCTCCTGAAGCCTGAGGCATTGTATGGAAGCTGTGGCGTTTGCTATGGATGGCCTTGGGTACCAAAGAGGGATGAGGACAGGTACGTCAGAGTGGAAAAGCTGTTGTTCATCCTGGGGGCCTGGGTATCTTCCAGCAGATCAACAAAGGCCAAAATGAAAGGATGAGAAAGAGAGGTTAGCAGGACAAAGGGTCAAGCAAGAAAGACCTGTCTACTGGACTTGGGCTGGACACAGCATATAAGTGATCTCATTGGTCCTCAGGTGATACCTGCAAGGTTTTGGTTTTTCAAAAACAGCAGTGACTGCTACGTCCTTTCTGTCCGTGGGTGTGTTGACGGGGTGTTTGGAGGGTGGGGAGAGACTTTCACAGAGAAAAGCGTCACGTATAAATAACAGAGTGCTCAGGTCATGTGGTGGAGAACAAAGTAAGTGACTGGGTGGACTCCACCTCCCACACCCCAATTCTGGACATGGACTTCTCAAAAGGGAGGATTTGACCCTCTTTCTCCTTGGATTTCTCAATCTGTTGCTCTCTGGGTAGTGGGTAGTGGCTTTCTCCAGTGGGATATGCATTGTGAGGCTGTGAAAGGCCCCCAGGGAGATAAGAATCATTTCCTTCCTTCAGTGGGGCCCGGGCACCCCACAGCTCCACAGCACACATGCATGCAGGCACCACTTTCCTGCCTTTCTCACTGTTCCCCAGGTTCCCTCCTGGTGCTGGGTCTAATGCACAGCTGTGGGGCCTCTCCTTCCACCCATCCAGCCATCACCACTGAGGAGGAATGGGCTCTCTTTCTCTGACCCAATATTGTGGGCTTTTGTGGCAGCACCCCTTCTCACCTGCAGGGCCCGTGTCACAGTGGGCCCCCCATCACCTCCCCACCAGTTCCCATTCTTTACCTGTATGGGTCTGCACCAAGTCTGCACAAACTGTCATCCTCCTCTGCAGCATCTTTCTAGCCCGTGTAGGGGGCCGTCTGTGCTGCCCTGGGGGGCCTTTGGTAGAAATTTCCAGCAGGCCCTTTTGCCCTTCAATAGCTGGTGCGGAATCGATATGAGTCAATTCTGATTTGATTTTGATTTTAGTTCAGCAATCTTAGAAATATCTTGTGGGTCCCTGTGCTCCATCTGACATCACTCACAGCTCTGGACTACCCCTATGGGCCAGTGCATGATCAGTCACCAAACACTCTGGGCCCCAGTCTGAAAGGAAGGACCAGCTCCACAGTGGGCAGGTGGTGCACATGGGATACATGAGTGTCCCAAAGATGTAGGTACACATCAGGCTTCCTGACTAACCATTCAGGGCAGTGGTAGGTGTGGAATGTGTCTGAGAAAGGAGGAAAGTGGATGCTGGGTGGAAGACCCTCATCCTTGACCTCCAGAGAAATGATTAAAGGAAACGTTTAGGGCTGTTGGCCTCTGAGTTCATTCTAGAACAGGGTGAAAGTGGCTCTCCCTTAGTGTCACCCAGTTTTCCCCTCTCTAGCCAAATTGTATCTGATGGGGCAGAGTCACTCGTGTCTTCTGCTGACCTGGGCCTTGGGTGCCACATCACTGCTGGCTGCCTCATCTCCAGGTAGCTACAGTGGTCAGCCTTTCCGCTGTTGGTTGGCTGGTGTCAAGTTGTGTCTTTTATGGTTTTCTAAACAACCCAGCATCTTTCCAGAACCTTCCTTCTTGTGGTTTGTTGCAGTAAATAGTCTGAAATAGTCACCGGCTGGACCATACATGTTTTTATTAAACAAAAATCTTTGTCATGAGAGGGGTCATCATGGAGTCCTGTCAGTCCTCATGATGGTCTTGCCAGGATAGCCACTCTTTCCTGAGTTTTGCTGTGCATTGTGGCACCACTCTTTGGTCACCTTGATTGGAAGGACTGCATCGCGTGCATATGGCTGAAAGTCACAGTTGTGTCCCTAGAAGACTATGAAACACCTTTGTGAGACCACTAGGTTTTAGGCAGTGGAAAGATGAGTGAGACACAGTTGTATCTTCCAAAGAACAAGTTGCCCAGAGGGGAATCCATGTGTGAAAACAGCTTCCCCATGGATCAGGGCTTTGGCCAATGCATTTAAAGATCCATGATGGGAAGCCTCTTCCTGATGTCAGGGAGAACAGCAAGGCTTGTCTGCAGAGGTTATATCATCAGCTGATGGGAAACCGATGGGACTTTCCAAGCTGGATAGACAAGAACAGACTTTAAGCGAGAGTTCAATGTCTGCCTGGCTCCCAGAATGGCTATACGGGGGTAAAAGAATGGCAGGATGCATCAGACTTCACATATGAAGGCTGTTCAGTAACACAGGAAGGACCTGCCCTGTAGCGCATGGATCCAGGACAATTGTTAGCAAAAGCAGGACTGGGCAGATCTGATCTTGGCCATGGGTTCTGCCTGGTGTATGGGCCAGTCAGCAGGTGAGGAGACAGGGCAGACCTGGAAAGGCTCCGAGGATGCTCCAGCTCCATCTCTGGCAGCACTTCTGTCTGGCTAGAGGCAAAGGGCCAGGCAGTTGCTGAAACCTGGGAACTTCAAGGTCTTCAGTTTGGGCTGAAGAGTAATGTGACTGGGTTTGGTGAATGGAGTTGGCAAGTGAAGAGGAGAGTGTATGACTGGCCAAGAGAGGAGGTGATGACATCCAGGGGACAGGTGGGTCCAGAAATAAGTAGAGGGCAAGATGGGCACACAGACGAGAGGGCGGCAGCACTGGT